CATCTGCCCCTGAGTGCGAATGATACAATAATTCATGATAGGGGTTAGGTGAATTCTGTTCCCAGTGATGCCACTGGGAGGTTTGCTGTGATGGCAGTAAGGCCTAGAACTTAATTTGCTTGAGTTTACCCTGCAATTTGAAGTTGTCTACTGTCATGGGTGTTAAAAATTAATGGCTAATCATTCCATGTCAAGTGCTGCTCCTCCGGGTCATGTCAGGGAAGGATCTTAAAATGCTAATGATCAAAAACCTGACTGCAACCAATCGACAAAAATCCAAGAGGCTTGGGAAAACCAAGTCAACCACAGGAAACAAATAGCTTAATTATTATTCAAATTACCTGCTTTCTTAGACTGCTTTAGCCTCTAATGATGTACCTTCTACATTATTGGTCATACATATTAATATCAGCACACCTATCCTCCCTGGACAGCTCAGAAGAGTGGTCATTCCAGTGACACATTAATTGGCATGCAGGGGCAGAGCTATCTAAGGCACAGGTGTCAAAGATGCAGACTGCAGAGGCCTATCATCTGGCCCATGGATCTGGAGCTTGACCTGCATGCCATGTGCAGGACATGCAGGGCTGCATATAGCACATGAGCTACACACAGCATGCAGGACCTATCTAGCACATGCTGCATGCAGTGGCCATTGTGGATAGGCAATATGTGCTGGATCCAGTGTGCAGAGCTGCTCTGCAGACCCAGTCTGACCCAGGGACCAGGAACACACTAATGTAACCCATGGGACCTGATGCATTTGACACCCCTGATCTAGGGCAGCAGCACCCAACCTTTTGGCCCTGCAGGCCAGATGACTAGCAGGAGGCTGGTCCATGTCCTGAATCCACGTGGCATCTATGCATAAGCCTCACCCTTGGTGTGCCTGCATCCAGCCACCTGCTGCCTGACCCCATGTTAGCACTATCTAGTGCACAGGGCCACTTCATCCACCTCCAGGTCCATAAATGGGCAGCAGGGGATGAACAATTAATGCTGCCACTGCCCCCCACAACCCGTGCCAAATTTTCACATCCATGAAGGGGGCTAGGGGTTGAGACCCCTGATCTTGTGGGTGCACATGCAGGCTGATACCTCCATCTGATAAACTTCCAAGGGGAGGAGATCTTTGTCAGTGGCTACGCCACCCACTTCCACAGCATACAACACAGAGGCAAACCACCTGGCAAAAGCATGCAGCAGTGACTCCCCAAAATACACTCCAAAGCTTGAGCTCCCAATGCCCCTGGTCCAGCCACTTGCTTCCCTGCCTAAAATCCCAGGCAATCAGACCTTGAAGCCAGCTCCAACCATTGCCTCCACAGGGCTACTGCCATCCAGGTGACCATAGCCAGAGATACAAAAAAAGTATGTTCATGCACACCAAGTCTCTGGACTCCTGCACCCCACACTTGCCCCCTCCAACTCACCTGCCCCTGCCTGGGTGGAATCCCTCAATGCCCTGGCAAGCTCCCATATAACTATTCAACCCACCTGCTCTGGGAAGGGTCCCCCAGCAACCCATCCTGTTGCCCCACTCCTGCCACTCACCTGCTGGACCTATTGATTGTGACTGCTGGCGCTGACAGCCGCTGAGCCTGGAAGCTGCAGGCGAAGCCCCCGCGTGAGAAAGGGGCGGACCGTGCACAAGGAAGACACAGGCAGTGCATAAAGGAAGAGCAGATACGTTCCACCAAGCCATGCCCCTTCAGCACTTCCAGCTTTTCTGAGTCCTGCTCCACCACTTGTTGGCAAGATTGCTGCAGCTCTGCACCTAATGCCTCCCTGTGCCACCCCTTCAACCTGATCCTCACCACAGCCCAAGTTTCCTTCCTCACCTGCTTACAGTTGCCAGTCACTCAGATGGTGGCTTTCCTGGTGCCCCAGGCCAGGAAAAGTCATGTGCGCACCTGGCAGGGAAACCTCAGCCCAGCTCTGAACTTCCCCACATTGCCCCCTCCAGACCCCCTCCACAGTGACCAGGACTACTGGACCACAGGGGCAAACTATATATAACGGCAGTGAAAAAATGGGCTTGGCTCCTCCAGAACTCAGCAGCCCTTCAGGGATGAAACAGCTACAGATGACTGAAAGCCTGTAGACATTACATTAAACAGGCAAGGAAGGACCACAGCTGGACTTAAGAGACTCATGAAAACTTGAGGCAATTGGAGGTCGACAGTCATTCTCTCTATTCCAAGGTGACAACTGCATCTTCCCACCACTGTGACCTAGCTCGTTAGAGAAAAAGCACCTATCTTGCCATTAGAAGTAGCAAGACTTGTACTGAAGGCATTCAGAGAAAAAGGTACAAAACAACTGAACTAAGAAAAAACACCAAGAAGCGCATAAGTTTACTGAGCATTTTATTTTTATTGGGACCATTTTTTTCTTTTTAGATGAGGAACACCTGAACTTCAACAGATTACACAAAAGCATCACAACTTCACTGTACCTTACTTTTTATTTCCTCAGAGAAACAGGATGGATTTCCTACAGTGCATTAACAATCATAAATTCATGACTAGGAACCATCTGTTACACATTCTTTTACCATTTGTAAATCGGAAGGGAAATATTTGCATTAAACAAGTAAGAACACAAATCAGATCAGGAGATAGAATAAAAAAGTTTATTCATTCACCCAGCATTGAATAGGAAAAGATAAGGACAAAATCTTCTCAGTGTAGAAAAGCACCAGCCACAAGTTGAGAAGTTTTTTATATCATTTATTGTTTGGCTGTGTACATCTTAGTTCCTACCAGTTTGACGCTGACCAAGCCAACTACCTTTCCAATCATTTCGAAACCGGGATGAGATCTTTGTCCCCAGGGAGCCCAAGATTGATACTTTCAAACACCCACGGAGCCTTAACTTACAAACACAAACAAATTGCACCACAAACAGCCTCAAATTAGCCCCACAACCCACAGCCAAAGCAAGCTACAGCCAAACCACAGACAGAAACAAGCACAAAACTGCATTTCTACACTGTCACCAAGAACCACTCAACAACTCAACAAAGAAAAACCTACACGCTGTCTTCAATCGCATCTATTTTGATCAACTGCTTAACTAGCAAAGCCAAACAACCTGCAAAAACTTTGAGTACCACATATCAATATACACAACGAGAACAATGCCTCAACCGCATTGCACATGATCAGGGCAAAACCAAGACCGAATGCATAGTTCAACTTGAAGCACGTGGCTGCTTACTCCTAATGGGTGTTTGAAAGTTTAGAGATTCATACAGCAGTCTCCATCTGTCCTTATCTAAGCATACTTTAAACATTTCCCTCCCTCCTTTTAATAATGAAACATGTGGACTTGGGGTTACTTTTTTTAAACTGAAAATTGGGGATTTTTTAAATCAGAAAAAACAGGATCCCTGATGAGCAATACCACCCCCTCCCCCAGAAGTTACCCTCGTACAAAAACAGGAGGAGGTAAGACCTATTTATAAGGCGGTCCCAGACATCCAAGCCTTCCATGACTCACTTGTCACACGGTCAACAGCTTGGGGATGCAACTTGGAGAGGACAAGACGTTGTGTCCAAACTCCCTTACCTTTCCCTACTGGTTGGGCTGAGATGCTTTTCATCCCTCCTCGGTGGCTCATCTGTCATCTTCTCTGCTTCTCCTTTTGGGAATTTAAAAAGCAGACAGACACTGGATTTAAAAGTCAGAGAGTCAGTGGACAGGACTACAAGCCCCAGCTTCTCTCTCCCTCTTATCCTTACCTGAACCTGCTGCCACTCTGTCCTCTGTCTGTGAAAAGCGAGGAGGGAAGAGATCTGCAGGCTCAGCTGCTGACATCCAGGCCAGCCACAAACAGAGCGCGATGGGCCAGGACTCTGGACAGAACTACTTGTTCGCCACCTTAAAAAGTGACCAGAAACATTGGCAACCCTGCCTACAGGGCAGTGCCCCCTCCAGACAGCTGGCTGCTGGGGCATGAAGCCCGGAGAAAAACCTGCAAAGACCTGAATGCCAGCTGACAGGTGTCTCAGGCGGTCTTGATCAGGGGTCAAAGCTACCCCATGTCCGGAGGGCAAAAGGGCCACAAATTCAGCCTTCTGTCACAGAAGCCGCAGAGCTCAAAGGGCTAAACGAGGCTTCATCTCCCGCAGAGCTCAAAGGGCTAAACGAGGCTTCATCTCCCAAGGCACAGGGGTAGTGGGCACAGCCATTTACAGGCTGCAGAGGGAGGCCTTCTCAATAGTAACGGGGGCGGCAGAACAGAGGAGCGGAGACCTGGACCCGTTACAGGAAGGTCACTAAGCCCAGGGGTTCCACCATGCTCAGTATCCTCCAGAAGCCTGCAACCTTCCACGTAGTCCATGGGTGCCGTCTCTGGCCAACCTCACCAAGTGGAACAACACCAGACATTCAAGGGGACCCGAACCCTGCTCACAGACTGCAGGGCAGAGAGTGGGGGGTGCAGAAGAACGGCTGGGCAAGTGCCATCTCCAGGGACAAGGACGTGGAAAATCTTGTGAGGGTCCAGACAAGAGCCACCTGTATGATCAGGGACTTGCAAGACAAGCCACACAAGGAGAGGCTGAAGGACTTGGGCCTCTTCAGCTTGCCGAAGAGAAGGATGAGAGGGGACTTGGTAGTGGTTTACCACTACATCAGAGGAGTACATCAAGAGCTCTGTGAACAGCGGTTCACCGGGGCACCCCTGGGGAAGACCAGGAACAATGAATACAAACTCCTGGAAGGCTGCTTCAGGCTCAATTCCAGGAAAAACTCCTTCACCATCAGGGTGTCCAGAGTGTGGAATAAACTCCCTCCAGTGGTGGTGCAGTCACCTACCCTGGCAATCTTCAGAAGGAGACTAGACAGTGACCTCGGTGGAGTCACTTGACCCCAGTTGTCTTTTCCTGCCTAGAGCAGGGGGACTGGACCTGATGATCTGCAAGGTCCTCTCTAGCCCCGAACAATCTATGAATCTATGACTCGGGTACGGAACAGATAATATAGTTTTCCCTCAAGAAGGATGGTAGTAACCCTTCATGTGAACTAACAAGTGACCAAAATAACATGCTAGCCACCCAAAAAGAGGGGGCCCAAGACCTGTACCCTCAGATGCAGGGAGGTAGTGTGCCCTAATATATTGGGGGGGTGGGGGGGGCGGCGCTAAAGCTCTCCTAGGCCAGAAGGTACAGAAATCTATACCAGTGCTTAACCCCTAGGTGAGGAGGAGGAACAATAAGGCTAAGAGGGCACAGCAAGCCTTTTCTGGCACTGGGAAGAAAATAAAGTAAGCGGCATTGATTTTAAGAACAAAAAGAAAATAACAAATGCTTTCATTCCCAGGCACTCCTCCCTCTCGTTTACCCACCTGTTGTCATACGCACTGTTCGTGTGGCTTTCTGCCATGGAAGCCAGCGGCTGGGAGGAGACACCGTCCTGCAAGAAGGGTTCCAGGTGCCTCCTGCTGCTGTATATTGTGCCATGGTATGAGTTCAGTCCATAGGCTTGTGGCCCGTGGCTTTCCATTCCCAACTGATCGAGTGTTTGGTAGCTGAACAAGGACACTTCTGCTCGTCCCTCTGTCAAACAGAAGACAGATCAACTGGGTTACAGGGAAGAACCAAACAGAGAGACATTACAGCTTGTCCCAGCCTCTGGCTCCATGCCCTACACTCAGACTGTCTCTCCCCTATTTTTTGTGGGGCAGTGGGTTCTTATTTTTTTTCTTTTTCCTTTTTGCAGGCGCCGGAAGGACAAGCAGTGAGCAAACCAGCAAAATGGGATGAGAAAAGCCAGCAAAATGGAAGGCAAAGGAAGGGACTCTAGACAGAATGGCTGTGCTGCCTTTCAGTCTCGTTCATGTATTAGCCAAATTCTGGCTGTATGAGCCTTTGGGCAAGCTCCCTGTAATCTGGAAATAGGTCTCCACCCTTGATGCTGTTGCCCTTGTGCAGCAGTCAGGTGGAAGGAGGATGACCCTGTAAGCAAGGTGTGTGTCACCGCCACCTGATTTTTAAAGGTCTTTGATCTGGTTGGTGGCCTGGCACAGCGCAGCCGCCCTGTAAATCAGGGTCCAGGCCAGCTGCCAGAAGTGGCTGCCAACAGCAGCCTCCTGTAAGCGGGGTACATGCTGCTTCCTACTGTGCAAGACTTACCCATGTATGACAACATCAGGAGCTAAGACACAAACCCTGCTTATAAGAAGGTGCCAGTTATCCAACCTTCTGAGGCCCACTGATCCCAAGGTCTACAGCTTGGCGATGGAATAAAAACCAAGCAAAAAAAACCCAAAAGTCCCTGAATCAAAACTCCCATACCTTTGCTTCACTGGCATGGTTTTCTTTCCTTCTCATCACCTGACTACAGCTCGTCTTTTGTCTTTTCTGCTTCTCTTTCCAGGGGCTACAAAAATGGGAGACAAACGCTACATTTTACTCGTTGTGTTCAAGGACACAATTACAGGCCGTAATTTTTCTCTTTCTTTAACCACTGCCTGAACCTGCTGCCAATCTGAACTCTACCCAGATATTTGGAAACTCAGCCGCTGACATCCAGGCCAGCCAAAAGCAGAGAGTGTGATGGGCCAGGACTCTGGACAGAACTGCTAGGGCGGCACCGTAAACAGTGACCAGAAACACTGGCAACCCTGCTTACAGGGCAGTGCCCCCTCCAAACAGCTGGCTGCTGGGGCATAAAGCCTGGAGAAAAACCTGCAAAGACCTGAGTGCCAGCTGACAGGTGCCTCAAGAGTTCTTAATCAGGAGTGAAAGCTGCCCCTTGTCTGGAGGACAAAAGGGCCGTGACTTCAGCCTCCTGTCATGGAAGCCACAGCTCAAAGCGCCAAGTCAGGCCTCAGTCCTGAATTCAAGGCCAAGCCCCTGATTACAGAGGTGAAGGCCAGAGGGAGCTTCGGAAAAGCATCGAGGGTAGCAGAAAAGAAGAGTCTAGACACCTGAGCCTAAGTTACAGGGAGGTCATGGCGCTCAAGGAACCAGAGTTCCCTGTCCAGCAGAAACAAGGGGGAAGGGAGACACACGCCCCGCTTACAGGAGGGCCTCTCCTCCACCAGCCAGTTACGGCAGCAGTCTCAGATGCTTACTATTGGGGCAGCTACAATGTACAAAGCATCATACAACTCAGTCTTGCCTCGCAGCAAGAAGCAGCAAGCACCCTTTGAACAAGGTGGCTGCTCACTCAGTAGCCAGCTACAGCAGTGAGCCTGGGCCCTGATTACAGGGCAGCCATGCCGCGCCATCACTGCAGCAAGTGGAGAAGCATCAGAATCAAGGGGGAGGTGACAGACAGGGCAGCCTCTCACCTGACAGCTCTGCAAGAGCAACAGCACACAAAGCTGAGACCTGCTTCCTGGTTATAGGGAGCTCCCACTGCTCCAAGGCTCCCTCAAGCAAATTTTGGCTCATATATGTGACTGAGATCTAAGGGCAGGGTTGGCACTGTGTCCAGAGTCCCTTTTTTATGCATCCCGTTTTCCTGGCTGGCTTTCCTCCCACCTCGCCCCTTCACTGCCAGGTCTTCTGACGACTGTAAGAACAAAGACCGAAACTGGCTTTAAGTCGACACAGCCCGAGCACATGCCTAGCAACTGCAACTTCTCCCTTCTCAGCCCTGATGTGAAGGGGTTCCAGCGCACTCAGTATCCACCAGGAGCCTGCAACCTTCCCCCTAATCCATGGGTAATACCTCTGGCCAACCTCACAAAGTAGCCTATGATTTGGGGAAAGAGCATGAGACCTGCACCTTGCTCATAAGCCGGCGGGGGCAGGAGGTCGTAGCACTCCAAACCTACCATGGCTCACTAATCCCTAGCCTTTACCCAAACTCTCTTACCTTTGCCTCCTGGTGGGCTGGCATGGTTTTCTTCCCTGGCTATCAGTTAACTCCTATTTGTCTGTCATCTTCGTGGCTTCTCCTTCTGGGAACATACAGAACAAGAGAGAAACGGGATTTAAGTCAGCGCAGTGGAAGACGGGTCTACAGGCCCCAACTTCTCTCCCTCTTTTACCCTTACATGGACCTGTTGCCATTCTGTCCTCTGTCCGCTGAAACGGGAGAGGGCAGACATCTGCAGGCTCAGCTACTAACATCGAGGCCAGCCAGAAGCACAGCGAGATGGGCCAGGACTCTGGACAGAACTGCTAGGGTAGCACCATAAGAAGTGACCAGAAACACCGGCAACCCTGCTTACAGGGCAGTGCTCCCTGATGGGGCATGAAGCCAGGAAAAAAAACTGCAAAGACCTGAATGCCAACTGACAGGTGCCCCAGGCAGCCTCAATTATGGGTCAAAGCGGCTCCATGTCTGCAGCACAAAAGGGCCGTGACTTCAGCCTCTTGTCATGGAAGCCACAGAACCCAAGGGGCCTCAGCTCCCAAGTCACGGTCAGAAGTGACCAATGCCCTGATAACAAGGGCAAAAGGGGAGGAAGCTTCTGAAAAGCACCAAGGGCAGCAGAAAAGAGGAGTCTAGAGACCTGAGCCCAAGTTACAGGGAGGTGACAGCGCTCAAAGAACCAGAGTTCCCTGTCCAGCAGAAACAAGGGGGAAGGGAGATGCACACCCTGCTTACAGGAGGGCCTCTCCTCGACCAGCCAGCTATGGCAGCGATCTCAGACACTTACTATGAGGTAGCTACAATGCACAAGGCACCGTACAATTCAGTCTTGCCTCTGGCCAAGAAGCAGCAAGCACTCCTTTGTAGAATCTAGCCCTCCATCAAAAAGAGGCATGGGACTCACAGTCTCGTTACAGGGTGGCCGAGGGGTCCAGACATGGAGTACCAGGCATAAATGCAGGGACAAGGACAGACGCCGGGTCACGGGGAATGGAGAGGAGGCCACAGGCTTTAACCCACGTTACAGGAAGGTCACAAAGCTCTGGATTCTAGAGTTTGCTGTCACCCCACAGGGCTCGGCTGCTGTCTCTCTCAGACCAGCAGAAGGAGGCTACGACAACCCGGCCAACAGGGGCTCCTCTCTGACTGGCTATGGCAATGGCAATGGCAGTGGACTTGGCCTCCCGATTACAGGACGTCCAATGATACTCACATTCAAATCATTTATCATTCTCGCACACATCCTGCTTAAAGGAGGCGGTGCCATCGGCATCCACTTCTGGCAGCTGGCCTGGACCCCAATTACGGGGCGGCTGAGTTGCACAAGACCACCCACCAGATGGATGGCCTTTAGAAATGAGGTGACGGTGACACACACCTTGATGACAGGGTTGTCTACCTTCTCCCTGACCGCAGCAGAAATGCAACATTTACTAGTCCCATAAATGAACGCATTTGCTGCCTTGTTTGTGGAGGTTGTACCTGGCAGATCGTCTCTACCTTGTCTATCAACGGTTTAATGATTCCTTGCCCCACTAAGAAGCCTAGATGTTTGGTCTTTACCTGCCAATATGCATTTTTTTGCATTGCTGTTAAGCCGGCGGCTTGCAATTCCCTTAAAACAGCTTTCACTGTATATGTTGGGACCAGTCCCTCATGAAGATAACAATGTCATCAATATACACTGCAGTGTAGGCTGCGTGGGGATCCAATAAAGAGTTTCTGGAAGGTAGCCACTGCATGGCTGAGTGCAAACGGCATACGTAAAAATTCATAAAGTCCCCAAGGTGTTCCAAAGGCCATTTTCGTGCAATCTCTAAGGGCATGGGGATCTGCCAGTACCTCTTTGATAGATCAAGGGTTGTTATGAAACTGGCTTCCCATATTTGTTGGGAAGGTATGAACCTTTGGTAATAATGTGTTAGTTGTATTTATACATTCCTATATTCGTTCTACCAGGTGCGCAATGTGTGGCATGGGAAATGCATCAAAGGTTGTTACGGCATTCAGCTTCTGAAAGTCAACACAAAGATGTAGCGAACTATCAGGTTTAGCTACAGGCACACTGGGACTGCACAAGGGACTGCAGGAGGGATGTATAATCTTCTGCTCTATTATCTTCCTTAGTTCCGTTTGTATCTCTTGATGTAGATGTTGGGGAAAGGCCTCCAACTTTCCCTAACCAAGGTGCCCGTTGGTGTTTTAATGACACGTTCCACCCCTCTAGCGTGTCCTGGTTCTTCCCTGAAGACATCCTTAAGAGACTGAACTAGTCTTTCCAATTCCTTTCTGAGGAAGGAAGGGTTCTTCTCCAAAACAGACTAGAGGCCACGGCTGCTTCCCCAGTTTCTGGCTCCAGCCATGGGACCTCCAAATCTTTGGCTCCATCTTCTTGCATAGCCATCCAGCCTTGGGGCCTTTTCCATTCCTTCAAGAGATTTGTGGTAGATTTGTTGCTCCATTCTACGTCCTGGCTTTAAGACCTCATAATCTACTGGTCCCACCTGTCAGGCCACTTCAGGGGGGCCTTGCCATTGTGTGAGCTGCTTGCTCACGGACAAGGGAAGTTTGACCAGGACCTTATCACCCAAACAAAAAATCCTTATCACATTGTGTCTTTTGCCTTTGTTGAGCCTCTTTCAAATTCTCACTGGCCAACTGCTGTGTTTTTTGCAGGCGCTGTCGCAACTGTTGCCTATGCCCTTCTGCCCCAATACTTGGCTCTACCAGCTTCTCCCATTCTTCCTGGAGGACCTACATAAGGCCTCTAGGGTTATAGCCATACACTAGTTGAAATATTCCTGGTATCACCAGCGGGGCTACCTCCTTTCCAGCACCCATACTCCTCTGGTTACGGTATAGAAGATTTTTTCTTACCTCCTACCAGGTGCCTCTGTTCAACGGGCCTTCTCCAGGGTCTTCCTCCTCCGGGCGCTGTAGTGCAGGGTCATCACGTTGCACTTGCCAGAACGGGGCAGGACTGGTCGCCAGCTCTAGGTCTATGCCCAAATCTGCCTCTACCATGGCTGGTCCCATCTCCAGCGCTTCGCTCCCGGACAGCCAGCAAGCAACTCACCATCTTGGGTGACCAGGGGCTGGGATTCAGCGCTCAGTGGTTGCAAGAGAATTACTGTACAGGTTGCACCGAGGGTGGGTGCTCCTAGCGACTCCCACCGACAAAAAGCGGGCAGCGGGAGCCCAGGCCTGCACTTACTTCACCTTTCCTCCGCCTCCTCGTGAGGGCGGCCTGCTCTTCCGCGCAGCCACTCTGCCATGGCCTTGGCTCTCCGCCGCCAGCTCTGTCCAGCCGCCTCGGGCCTCCGCCCCACCCCACACGCACCACAGCCGCCCGCGGGAGGGGGCTCAGCACACACCCGCCAG